GGTGGTCTTTGCTTCTCTATTCCAGTCATTAGCAGCCTTATGTAATGTGCCTGTGACTGTCTCCTGAAGCATGTCCACAGTCTTTAGCAGGTTTTTACCATGTTCACACTCTCTGACCATCAAATGCAGTATGTCTGCACTCTCTGACCATCTCTTGTAGTATGCCCATAGTCTTTGACTATCTTCTGCTGCATGTCCATACTCTCTAACCATTTCTTGTAGCATGACAGTAGTTTTTGATCATCTCTTGTGTGCATGCTCTGACCATCTCTTGTAGTATGCCCATAGTGTTTGACCATCTTCTGCTGCACGTCCATACTCTCTAACCATTTCTTGTAGCATGACTGTAGTTTTTGATCATCTCTTGTGTGCATGCTCTGACCATCTCTTGTAGTATGCCCATAGTGTTTGACCATCTTCTGCTGCATGTCTATACTCTATAACCATCTCTTATAGCATGTCTGTAGTTTTGATCATCTCCAATGGCATGTGTGCATACTCTGACCATCTCTTGTAGTATGCTCATAGTCTTTGACCATCTTCTGTTGCATTTCTACATTCTCTGACCACCTCGTGTAGAATGCTGTAGTCTTTAATCATCTCCTGCAGCATGTCTGTACCCTCTGACCATCTCTTGTAGTATGCCCATAGTCTTTGACCATCTTCTGCTGCATGTCTATACTCTCTAACCATCTCTGATAGCATGTCTGTAGTTTTTGATCATCCCCTGTGGCATGTGTGAATGCTCTGACCATCTCTTGTAGTATGCTCATAGTCTTTGACCATCTTCTGCTGCATGTCTATACTCTCTAACCATTTCTTGTAGCATGACTGTAGTTTTTGATCATCTCTTTGTGTGCATGCTCTGACCATCTCTTGTAGTATGCTCATAATTTTTGACCATCTTCTGATGCATGTCTATACTCTATAACCATCTCTTATAGCATGTCTGTAGTTTTTGATCATCTCCTGTGGCATGTGTGTATGCTCTGACCATCTCTTGTAGTATGCTCATAGTCTTTGATCATCTTCTGTTGTATTTCTACATTCTCTGACCACCTCTTGTAGCATGCCCGTAGTCTTTAATCATCTACTGCAGCATGTCTGTACCCTCTGACCATCTCTTGTAGTATGCACATAGTCTTTGACCATCTCCCGTGGCATATCTGCACTCTCTGACCATCTCTTGTTGCATGCCCGTAGTCTTTAATAATCTCCTGTGGCATGTCTGCACTCTTTGACTATCTCTTGGAGTATGCCCATAGTCTTTGACCATCTTCTACTGCATGTCTACAGTCTCTGACTATCTCTTGTATCATGCTGGTAGTCTTTGACCATCTCTTGTGGCATGTCTACACTCTTTGACCATCTTGTGTAGCATGCCCATAGTCTTTGACCATTTCCTGCTAAATGCCACAGGAACATAATTGGGAAAAAAACCCTTTATAGCAGGATCATTATATTTTTTCTTTTAATAAAAGCTGCACATCTAAAACAATTGAAATCAGATTTTGAAATTACATTAACATATCCCACAAGGAATATCTGCCTTTAATTTATCCACTGCTATATATGCTCCAACTTGGAGACTCTCAGATATAGAACCACACTTTACAGAGGAGTCTGGACAAGGCAGTGTGGCTTCCACGTATATTTGCAGGTAAACCTTCACCTGCCATTGTCCTCTTGCTGGGCTTCTAATGTGTCCCTGAATCTTTAAGTAGGAATGGGCTCCCTCCAGGCATACCTTCTCCCATATTTCCCATATATATCCAATATGGAGACTCTCAAATATAAGTGTTAGGACCACAGTTTACAGAGGAGCCTTGGCGAGGCAATGCAGCTTCCACATACATCTACAAATGTGTGCATCTAAAAGTGTGCTGGGAAAACTTTTTGCTTATACATTAAAGCTGGCCATACATAGTTCAAAATTTGGCAGCAGGGACTGGCCAAATTTCAATCCAACTGTCGGTGGACAGATTTCTATCAATCGACTTCTCATGAACAGTTCTGCTGGAAAATTTTCATTCAGTCAGCACTTGCAGCTCGCTGCCCCTTTGCTTGTGCATATATATTCAGGAGGTAGCTCTGCCCAGAGGAATCCAGCACATGGGGAAGACAGGCTGACAGCTGTAAATGTAACCCAATCCTCCAGTACACCATCCAGCCCAAGAGGAGCTCTGCTCTTCCCTGCTTCAGCAGTCTTCTCTTCCATCTGTCCTCACTAGAGATTGCCCACTTGAGGTGCCTGCCGACTTGCCTGGGGCTTCTGAGACCTGTAGGCCCACAACACATAGCCTGCTGTATGAGAAGGAAAGACAAAGACAGCCAGCAAGGTGTGGTAGAGTGCTTCTGTTCCTGATTCCAGCAAAGCTGCTACAAAGCTATGTCCTGGAGCTTTCCACATGTTGGGGGGATTGCAGGGACTTGCAGTCCTCCTAGAAGATGTCAGCAATAGACTCTTTCCTAAGCAGGTATGCTGGGGCAGACACAAACCTGTATTGCGCACAAGATGATGTAGATGTGTAGATGCACACAAGGGATGAAGTGGTGACATGTTGTTTCTAGGGGTCACAAGCAGAAGGGAAGGAGGATATGAGAGCCACAGAGTAGAAGAACGGTACCGGCAGGGGTGATGGGTCTCATGTATAGTGAGGTGAGCGATTCAGAGCCTACTTCCTGAGCCGTTGGTGCGCCAGCAACCAGGATGAGCCCCATGTGACAGAGATCCTAGGGACCTAGCTGTATGGTGCAGAACAATTATGTGTGTGCATGAGGTCCACGCTGGTTTCCAGTGGGATCCACTCTGTCATTGGGAGATGGGTGGCGGAGTCTAGCTGGACTGGTGGAACAGGACACTTCAATGTAGTGTTTCCTTCAAAATATCGCATCCTGAGCAGATGTATGTATCATGGAACTGTGAGACACCTGTACACAGCAAAGTGATAAAAAAAAGGCCCTGTGCGCACCGTACGAGTCAGCCCCGCCCACAACTAAATCTACTTCTTCAGGACCAATGTGAAAGGAATTAATTGAAATATGGTTTTCAATGTTCTATACCGGTGGTTCTTAATCACTGGTGTGGCCATCTGTTGGGCTTCGGCCTCCCCTCTCCCGGGCTCCCAGCCAGCTGCAGATCCCTAACCCTCCCACAGAGCCTCCCAGCTCTCATAGTGCCCTTTAGCCTCCCATTGTGGCCGACACTACCCCCTGAGAGCTCTCAGCCTCCACAGGTAACCCCAACCTACCACAGTACCCCCCAGCTTGCTGCAGAGCCTTCAGCCCTCCACAGTGCACTCTTAACCTCCAACAGTGTCCCAGAGCACCTATCAACTTCCCACAGTGTTCCCCAGCTTCCTCTATCAACTTTATCCCATACAGGGCCATCAGATACGCTGTAGAGTCCCCCAACCCACTTCACAATCCAGCCCCTTCTGCCATCCCATGACACCCAGCCCTATCCAGAGCCTTCCAAATCTTGAATATATGTTTTGCTTTCCCACATTTTAATTGGATGAGTAGGAACTTTATACTCTACTGCTGGAGCATGAAAGGTTTTGGAAAATTCTAGTCTCAAAAATGGTTGAGAACCCTCGGTCTATACACTTACAGAGATTCTATTAGTTGGGAGTAAAATTACAATAACTGTTCCCTCTGGAAGCTTAAAAAAAGAACAAGAAAAGTTCTCTTGGTGTTCCATTATAAGGCAAATCCCACATGGAAGATGGGTCAGTGCAAAGCCACCTCCATCCAAAGTAGTAGCAGGTCAGTCTCCCCAACACAACCTCAGCTTTAGAACCCTAGTTCTGGCAAGGAGTTGTGATTATAAACAAACCCAGTTTGACCATCCAGTCTAATCCTTGTTATCAAAACTGTCTAAAAAGGATCTACAAGAAGTAAAGGGAAATGGAGAAAATAACCCACAGGGATCAAGTGGATTCCATAAATTTTTCAGAGCATTACAGAACATTTGAAAATATATCTGATAGGAGACTGGAGATACATTTTGCATTAACCACTGCTGCTCTTTCACATCTCTCCCATTTCTGCGATTGTTATCGAGTTAATATAGTAAGAGGCTTCATAAGACATGAATTGAAATCTAAGATGAGGTCATGCTATGGGTGTAGCTAGAAGAAGAGGTGCTATAACATTCTATTACATAACTGGTAACAGTAAGAATGCATTTTAAGCAGGGTAAGATAATATCCTTGTGACCCAATATCAGGTAATTTAAATTATTCCAGCATCTGCAATCAATCATTTGTTTCTTTTAAAGACAAGAACATGAATGTGAAAAAAACCCGAAACCTCCATTGCTACACCCCTTAACCCCTCGCCTACAGGGCACTTATACCCCCTTCCTGCCCAGGCCAATTTCCAGCTTTCTGCGCTGTCACACTTTGAATAACAATTGCGCGGTCATGCAACACTGTACTTATATGAAATTTTTATCATTTTTTTGAGACAGATAGAGCTTTATTTTGGTGATATTTAATCACCTCTGGGATTTTTATTTTTTCTTAAACAAACCAAAAACCACTGAAAATTTTGAAAAAAAAAGTTTTTTCTTAGTTTTTGTTATACAATTTTGTAAATAAGTGATTTTCCTCCTTCACTGATGTGCGCTAATGAGGCTGCAGTGATGGGCACTGATAGGCTGCACTGATGGACACTGATAGGTGGCACTGATGAGGAGGCACTGGTAGGTTGCACTGATGGGCATTGACAGGGATCACTGATGGGCACTGAAAGGAAGCACTGATACATGGCACTGATATATGGCACTGTTAGGCGGCACTGACTGGCACTGTTAGGCAGCACTGACTGGCACTGTTAGGCGGCACTGACTGGCACTGTTAGGCAGCACTGACTGGCACTGATAGGCGGCACGGACTGGCACTGATAGGCGGCACTGACTGCCACTGTTAGGCAGCACTGACTGGCACTGTTAGGCGGCACTGACTGGCACTGATAGGCGGCACGGACTGGCACTGATAGGTGACACTTACTGGCACTGATTGGCAGCACTGATAGGTGCACTGATTGGCATTGATAGGTGGCACTGACTGGCACTGATGGGTGACATTGAAAGGCAGCTCAGATGGGCACTGATATGTGGCATTGATGTGGCACTGATGGGCACTGGCACGTGGCACTGATGGGCACTGACAGGTGGCACTGATGAGCACCGACAGGTGGCACTTCTGGGGCCACACTGATCATCAGGGCACAATGATCAGTGCCCTGATGATCAGTGTACATGTCCCCTCCACGGAAAGCCGATTACCGGCTCTCCTCTTGAGCTGTCAGCGTGACAGCTCGAGAGGAGAGAAATGCCGATAACCAGCATTTCCGTGTTTACATGTGATCAGCTGTGATTGGACACAGCTGATCACATGACCGAGCCGACATCTTCGGCTCTTTCCGTGATCCGCTGTGTCCGAGGGACACAGTGCACCGGTGATCGGTGCGCTGCGCGCTCCCTGAGCCGCGCATGCGCAGTGAGTCTGGTAGGACGTCATATGACGTCCTATCAGAACGAGAGAACCACCTTGCGCCCGTCATTTTACTATAGGGCGGGCGGAAGGTGGTTAAAGTGTATCCAAGCCCAAATACAAAAATGTAATATATTGCAGCTGATCAGTTCTTAGATGAATTGTCCGCCTTAGTTTTCTTTTTCCAAACTTGTCTTGAGCTGGAAGCCAATTACATAGTTAATATCTGAAAATCAATAAATTGTTTAAATTTCCGCTATTTAGCACACAACACTCTTTGGCTTTTTTTCGAATCATAGAGGTGGTAAATAATGTAGTAAAAGTACTACATGTATCTTGTATGATAAGATGATAGATTACATGGTTATAAAGGAGAAAGCTGGAGGTAACATCTAGTAAAATACAGAGATAATATGACATGCAGAGTCAAGGCCATGCAGTATATGTGATCTTGAACTTGACACAGTTATAGGTATCTGATCCCTTTTATCTGAAGCCAGTGTGCTGTTTGCAAACAGAAACCTGGAATTTGACATCTAGATTTGTATGATAGAGGCCCTTTTCCCATGTGTCAACAAAACACGGCATTGGCCATGTGGTACAATTCACTTTATTATTTTACATATACATTGCTTGGCATAAATGAGTACACCCCTTTTGAAAAGTAAGATTGTATTCAATATCTCAGTGAACACAAGAATAATTTCCAACATTTTGACAAAACTGAGTTCAGCATTTGTTTAGCTCGTGACATGAATGTAAGGTTAGTAATATAACTTATAGATATAAGATTATAAATTCTTCAGTTTTACTCAAAATTATTTGATGCAAAATTGAATACCCCCCACAACAAAAACTACTCCATCTAGTATTTTGTATGACCTCCGTGATTTGTAAGGACAGCACCAAGTCTTCTAGGCATGGAATGAACAGGTTGATGACATATTACAACATCGATCTTTTTCCATTCTTCAATAATGACCTCTTTTAGAGCCTGAATGCTGGATGGAGAGTGATGCTCAACTTGTCTCTTCAGAATTCCCCATATGTGCTCGATTGGGTTCAGATCAGAAGACATACTTGGCCACTGAATCACTTGCACCCTGCACTTTCATAATGCAACAGTGGCCTTAGATGTTTGTTTTGGATCATTGTCACGTTGAGATAAGTGCATGACGACCAAGGATACAGAGTGATTGTAGCAGCTTCTCTTTCAATATAGAGCAGTACATCTGTGAATTCATGACACCATCAATAAAATGCAGCTCCGTGACACCAGCTGCACTCGAGCAGCCCCACAGAAGGACACTGCCACCACCATGTTTCATGGTAGGCACCATGCATTTTTCATTGTACTCCTCACCTTTGCAACACCATACTGTTTTGAAGCTATCAGTTCCAAAAACATTTATCTTGGTCTCATCACTCCAGAGTACAGAGTCCCAGTAGTCTTCTTTTTCAGCATGGGCCCTGGAAAATTCTAGGTGAGCTGTTTTGTGCATGGGCTTTAGGAGAGGCTTCCTTCGTGGACGACATCCATGCATGCCATTCCTCTGCAGTGTATGCTGCACTGTGTCACTGGAAACAATCACCCCCGTTTGGATTTCTACTTCTTTAGCTAACTACAGTGAACTTACATGGTGATTTTCTTTAACCCTTCTCATCAGAAGACGCTCCTGTCGAGGTGTTAACTTCCGTGGATGGCTTGGGCGTCTCTGTGAGATGGTTGCAGTTCCATCTTTGTTAAATTTTTGTATTACTTTTGCTACAGTATTCTGACTGATAAGTAAAGCTTTGCTGATCTTCTTGTAGCCTTCACCTTTTTTGTGTAAATAAATTATTTTCTTTCTCAGACCTTGTGACATTTCTCTTCCATGTGGTGCCATTGCTGACAGCATGAAATGGGAAGGGGTTTTCTTTGTTACGTAACACCCTTTTATAATCACCAGTCTGTTGGAGACCTGTTTAATGAATAATTAGACTCACCTGGAGTTGAATTCTTGTTAATTAGGATTTTGTTGTCTAAAATTTAGATTTGCTCCTAATGCAGGCCATAGATGGGTCGAAAATCGGATTTTCGGATCGTTAGTGGGCGATTTGGTCGGCCGTTTTTCGGTATTTTGGCCGTTTTTTTTTTTTTTCCGGTAAAGTTGGAAAAAAATCGGCCGATTTTACCGATCGGCCGATTTTCGCGGCAATTAGTGGGCAAATCGGCCGATTTTTTTACCGATAAAAAATCTGCGCATGAGCAGTGACCTGCAAGAGGAAGACAAAAAGAAGAAAAAGAAGAAGAGGAAGACGATGAAGAAGAGGATGAAGAGGAAGAAGAAGAGGATGAAGAAGAAGAGGATGAGGATGAAGAAGAAGAAGAGGATGAGGATGAAGAAGAAGAAGAGGATGATGATGATGAAGAAGAAGAGGATGAGGATGATGAAGAAGAAGAGGATGAGGATGAGGAAGAAGCAGAGGATGAGGAAGAAGAAGAGGATGAGGATGAAGAAGAAGAAGAAGAGGATGAAGAAGAAGAAGAAGAGGATGAGGATGATGATGAAGAAGAGGATGAGGATGAAGAAGAGGATGAGGATGAAGAAGAAGAGGATGAGGATGATGATGATGAAGAAGAAGAGGATGAGGATGATGATGAAGAAGAAGAATAGGATGAGGATGCAGAAGAAGAAGAGGATGAGGATGATGAAGAAGAAGAGGATGAGGATGAAGAAGAAGAAGAAGAGGATGAGGATGATGAAGAAGAAGAGGATGGGGATGAAGAAGAGGATGAGGATGAAGAAGAAGAGGATGAGGATGAAGAAGAGGATGAGGATAAAGAAGAAGAAGAAGAAGAAGAAGAGGATGAGGACGAGGATGAAGAAGAAGAAGAAGAAGAAGAAGAAGAAGATGAGGATGAAGAGGATGAGGATGAGGATGAAGAAGAAGAAGAAGAAGTAGGATGAAAATAAGAAGAATTCCAGTCCAGCAAAAAGTGTCTCTCTAGAGAGCTCTGCTATTTCTGACAGTTCTCTGACAGTTCCTTGACATTTACAGCGGTTGAAACATTGTATCTATTTGTTTCCGAATAAAAACATCTGTATCCTAAATGGAAACAAATAGATACATTGTTGCAACTTCTATAAATGTCAAGGAACTGTCAGAGAACTGTCAAAGAAATAGCAGAGCTCTCTGCAGGGACACTTTTTGCCGGCTCTAGACGGGTAGAAAATCGGCCGATTTTTTTTACCATTGATGGTAACGTCGGCCACTTGAACAACCGATTTTTCGTTTTTTAAAAGAAAAATCTGCAGTTTTTCTCCCCATCTATGGCCTGCATAAGGCTGGCCATACATTATACAATTATCTGCAGATTTTCTGCCCAATTTCCTTTAGATTTACCTTCAACTATGTAGTGCAAGGGCCTGCCTAATTGGATACAACTGAAAGTGTTGTTTAGGTTTGTCCTCCTATTATATGGTTTTTGGTAAATCTAAACCAAAAATCTGCAGATAATTGTATAATGTATGGCCAGTCTAAGACTTACATTGGGGTGTAATAATTTTTACAACATGGTCTTTAATTAATTTGTTAGGAAAAATACTTTTTTGTGTGTGCAAATGAACAAATCTAGTTTTTTTCCTGCAAGGCATGATGAACCTTGTAGTTTGTCTTCCAGTGAAGCATTTGGTCGGTTGCTGGCTGGTAGTTCGGAGTGTGGATCGCACATCAGGAGGTCGGACATCCTTTATGATCCACCACCACCAGAGGGAGAGAGCCCTGTACCCAGGCTGTGCACCCGTCCAACCTTAAGGGGACCTCTGGAGCTAGCAGTTTAACTACACATCACCAAGACTTGATGATTTATCCTGGAAGCTCACCCATTCCACCTGCCTACGTGATCTCAGTGGATATTGATTACATGTGCATTATTCATGCGCGTCCGGTGAGTTCGCATTTTTATCATTTGTTCCTGCCACAAGTCTTGGTATTTCTGCTATAACAAGTGGATCTCATTTTATGAACTGTTCATCTATGCTTATAGCTTTTATGTGGACAATTTATGACATACTGAGAATATTTATGCACTTTATTTTATTGGTTGTTCTATAAGGTTTGCTGTGATCACCTTTAGTGCACTGGCTGCTGACACGAGAGTGCTCTCTTTTATTTATTTATATAAATGAACAAATCTTGTTTGCAATCAATGGCCGCATATGTGGGAGTGTTTTGTAGTATAGTGTCCCATAGAAAATGTTGATTCTGAAATGAAAGTAAAGGTTTTCTGACAAATCTGTTGGGGTGTACACATTTATGCTGAGCACTGTATATACAGTAAGCATTAGTAGTGTGAGCAGTAGTAAATAATAATAAACAAAATGGCATTTTCTCTAAGCATTATTATAAAATCAAATAAAATAAAATAAAATATCATCATTAAAAATTAATTTCTGTATGTACCTACAGACATTACAGAACTTTTGTCCAATCAGCCATGGTTTTTTTTTTAACAGATTTTTAATGTCTGTAAACACACTACAGCAAACCTGAACACTGCTCCTTCAGGACAGAGCAAGGCTTGCTTTGCAAAATACAGTTGCAAGAAAAAGTATGTGAACCCCTTGGGATTACATGGAGTTTTGCATGAATTGGGCATAAAATGTGTTCTGAACGTCATCTAAGTCACAACAATAGAAGAACACAGTCTGCTGAACATAATACTACACAAACATTAGATGTTAAACAAAATATATATGACTTTTCCTTTAAATAAAATAAAATAAAATAACACCAACACAAAACATCAAACCATGAAGAATTGTCCAAAATCCCACAGTGTCCAAAAAAAGTTCAAAATAAAAAATATATAAAAATCAAAAATTAACAAAAAATAACAAAAAA